ATAATAAATTGTATTCGTCTTTATTTTTGTGGACTTTCACAGCTCCGTAAAGGTGATTAAGATAGTTTTGTTTTTCTTTCTGTATTAATTTAAATATGTCCTCACGTAGATTACTGCAACTTTGTGAAGTACTACTTGTATAATAAATTGTATTCGTCTTTATTTTTGTGGACTTTCACAGCTCCGTAAAGGTGATTAAGATAGTTTTGTTTTTCTTTCTGTATTAATTTAAATATGTCCTCACGTAGATTACTGCAACTTTGTGAAGTACTACTTGTATAATAAATTGTATTCGTCTTTATTTTTTAAAAACAAAATTATCTTAATCACCTTTATGGAGCTGCGAAAGTCCACCTTTCTGTATTAATTTAAATATGTCCTCACGTAGATTACTGCAACTTTGTGAAGTACTACTTGTATAATAAATTGTATTCACGTTTATTTTTGTGGACTTTCTCAGCTCCGTAGAAATTGATTAAGATAGTTCTTTCCTTTTATTACTGCATTAATTTGAGTATGTCCTCTCTCAGATTACAGCCATTTGGTGAGGTACTTCTTTCGGGGAGCAAGGTTCTTCCTCATTAAAAGCAATAACATTGAAAATGTTGTGTTGTCAAAAGCCAAGGTGAGTAAAGGAAACTTTTAGTTAGTGAAAACTGTGAAGCATTTGTTTCAAGATAAAACCTGAAAATGAGCAAAATCATGTGTAAAAAGTAACTCTTCTTGAGTCCCATGTGCATTAGTCAGAATCTTATTTCTATCCTGCTTCTTCCAGATGTGATGCCACTGAATACGCTTCACACTTTCAACTGTTGGTAGATAACAAAAGTGACACAGTCAGTCCCATTGTTTGATTCAAAGCTCTTTTGGTGGTGAGTGGTACAAAAATCTTTAGTGTTAACTTTTTTAGTTGTAGCCCGAAACCTTTATTACCAATCAATAGTTTTTACTGGAATTGTTCTCACATATGTCAGTTACCTGGTATTTATGTATCAGTATAATATAAGCATGAAAAAAATTGGAATTTTGAACCTGAATGACATACTATATGCATATGGACTATGTATAAATTAGAGAATTCTAGTATTCAGGAGTAGTTGTCTCTAAATGTGAACTACTGATAACAGAGTGGGCAGTCAGTCAGTACCACTCATCACCAAAACGGCTTTGAATCAAACAATGGGACTAACACACTTTGATACCTTGTGTCATGTAACGTTGTTAACAAAAAGCTTGGGGCGAAATCTAGATGATTTTTAAATCTTTCAAAGCTGACGTTATGTAAGCTCACTCACAGAGAAAAATTATATCACTGCATTTAAAATTAGTATAGAATTATATGACAGCATTATATAATGGTTATAATGTTAATTTGATAAAGGAAAATGTGAAAAATACATAGACTCTTGTTTTGGTAGTGTCTGTGTCTTTACCACATACTATACGTTCTCTTTGTGTTCTGCTGGTTTCCATTGCTTATATTTTTGTGTCTACCAAAGAATTACAAAGAAAATTTACATTTTTGAAGTTTTATGAAGCAGTACAAAGTAAACTATATTTTACTGGTCCATAAGGTTTTATGTATCATTAACAAAATATATGTTCCAAACCTTCAAATAAAAATCATTATATACAAGAAGCTCTAAACTCGAGAATCATTCCTAACATTGGTTTTCTTTTTCTTTACAAATTTGAAGGAGGAGCTTGGTAATTGCTACGTTTCATAATTTAACATGGTCTTTTCAGAACTAAGTAAGAGGTCTGAGAGGTTTTAGTGAGGTTTTTCTTGTCGATATTGGACTTGTGTGATACTATTTACATTTGAAAGCTACAGAAATATTTCCTATAATGAAACTTTAGGGGGTAGTGATCCCAGAGGCATTAATGGAGTACAGTCTTACTATATTTTTTATCTAATATTTTGGCCAGTTATGTAATGAAATCAGTAGACATACTACAGATAATTGCAAAGATATATATTTTAATTAAAATACATCATATTAAAAGTGATTAGATATTTAAAATAGAACTTTCTGAACAACGATAAAAAAAAAACTTCGTTTCACTTCTTACATAATTCTAAATATATTTTTTTAAATGTCTATGTTATGTATGGTGATATCAGAATAAAACTAGAAAAAGTTTTAGTTTTGGAAAAAGACTTGTATATATATTTTTTCAATTGTTAGGCTAATAATACAAAATATAGGTAGTTCGAGACAAAAGGATACATTTGTGCTCATAGAAGCTGTTTTACAAAAAACAAAATTTGAAAATTAAAGAGCTATAAGTTGATTCAAATGAAACCAAATTATAGGATTTTTTTTGTATAAAAACTGTATTATTTTTCATACAGTTAGGTTCATTAGTTTAAGTTTGTGACGTTGAGAAACCGAGTGTGTTGAATGAACACAAGTTGAATAGAATTAGTTAAACTGTATATGTTAATGACAACATATGACTTGTTTATGGCAAGTCTAAATTATTATTATTATTTGTTTCAGGGTGTCTGGTCTACTCCACCACAGAATGAATCTAAACTGAACCAAGCCTTCAAGGTTTGAATTACCTGTGATGCTTCTGCAGTTATCTCAAGCTAAATTTGATAAATTCTGTTTATCACTTTTCATTTGTGTGTGCAGGACTGATTGGATTTTAAAAAAGTCTGATAGTTATGTAAAGTGTAACTTGTGTATTTAAAAAGTAATAGTTATGTAAAATGTAGCTTGTGTATTTAAAGAGTAATAGTTATGTAAAGTGTAGCTTGTGTATTTAAAGAGTAATGTTATGTAAAATGTAGCTTGTGTATTTAAAGAGTAATAGTTATGTAAAGTGTAACTTGTGTATTTAAAGAGTAATAGTTATGTAAAGTGTAGCTTGTGTATTTAAAAAGTAATAGTTATGTAAAATGTAGCTTGTGTATTTAAAGAGTAATAGTTATGTAAAGTGTAACTTGTGTATTTAAAGAGTAATAGTTATGTGAA